CCACCGATATATATCGAACTAATAACAGACACTCTCTTTTTGGCGCGTCGCGTTGGTTATATTTATACCTGTGTGGAGGCGTTCTAGAAATTTCAGTCTTACGTAACAATGCAAGTTACATTTTAAACGTTTACGTATATGCATATATTGTTGATTCTTACTCTAGAGAATCTTCTACAACTTTGGAGAATAGGCGGGAGTTTTTGCAATACCTATCTAACAGTATAAGCTATGTATGTTTCTAAATATAAACTTAATCTAAACAATGTTCATATTAAAATAAATACATAGCAACAAAGTCGTTACAATAGTAATTCAGCAATACAGACAGAGTGGGACATAATAATTTCCAAATACAGACAAAGGGGACAATAGAAACTTCACAATACAGATACTAATTCAAAATGAAGAGCTTTTACTCAAAAACAATACCTGATGTCCCACCTGTATTCATGAAGGTATATGGTATTTTCACCCATAACAGTATCTTATGTAACACATGATCTATACAACCATATCAGGGACATCGGAGTTCAGATAATAGCCGTCCTTAATACTGAGATGTAACTAGAGGGAGGGCAATCAATCATTAGCATTTGCTGCATATATGGACGCTTTTAACCGAATTACTAGGGAAACTGACAGTCATTTTTATAACACGTCCGCACTTGAAAGTGTCAAAAGTATTCAGTATCATATCGTGAAACCAAACCTCGGACCTTCGATCTGCAGTTGGGCACGCTAATCACTACGCCACGTGCGGTACACATTGATAATGGTGGTAGACACCTTTAAAATTCGTAATCTTAAACCAATAAATGGCGAGAAAAGAAAACTATTTAATCACGAAGAGAGGTATGTTGTGTTATCTATTAACTTGTACTTTCGTTTTCCATTATTGTAGATGTAAAGGGGTTGTTGTGACTCAATCTGTATCTATTAACGAAACTAAACAAATTAAACTAGTATACAATAAAGTTACTGGGTGAACGTACTGAAGTAACTATAGTTTCAGTTTTTAACTAATAAAACGCGTCGATGAACATTGACTTTCAAATTATAGGGGCCATCTGTGTAATGTTATTATAAATGACAATCAATTCTCGTGCTTATTCTGTCTGATTTTAAAAGCTTGTGAGCGAACCTTGAGTTTATTAAAAACAGTCAGATTTTGTATGTTTGCTAGAAAGTTATAAATATCTGTATATCAATCCTAAAGAAATAAAATATATAAATATCGTTGAACATACATTAATGTAGAACAACATATTGCACGTACTTAAATGATTTGTGTTTCAAAACGTCATCTTTGCTCTACGGATGTTTGCGCTAGACGTCCATAATTTTGAAGTGATAGAGACGGTAGCCAACTCTTAGGCTACTCTTGCCAGACGGAATAGTGAGATTTAACCGATAGTATTATAACGCACCCATGGCCCCAAAGCGCGAAACGCGATTTTTTTTTCTCGAAGTAACGAGACGCGAACCATGGAACCTCAGATCCACAGTCCGCCCAGTGCCAGTGACATTTTTCTTTCGTTTTCTCTCTGTTAAATACCAATCATGTATTTAAAACAAAACGTGGGAATGACACATATTGTTCTAAAATCTAAAATCGGTGTAATTACGTCTTTACTTTCTGAAATTATTTTTTACAGCTTCGTTGAAAAATATCTTTTCAGAAGATGTCTGCATATATATTAGAAAAAACGGCAAACTAGAATATTGATGGTTGTAATATACTCATGTTTAACTTTTTCTTTTTGAAAAAAGATTGTATTCAAGCAATTCATGATGAACAAACTGTTTTTAATTAATAATTTCCAATATTTCATTCTTATATTAAACAACTTTACTTTTTTTACTATCTATCTTAGAGAAAAAAAATATTCAATTGCACATTTTCAAATAAAGTTAATTATTTAAAGATGGTTTTATTTTAAAAACTTTAAGCACACTACTAATCTTTGAACAACCTCTGGGTCAGGTGTACGATATTGTTTGTTTAAGACTCAAAATAATATTCATCAATACTTAATCAAAAGTTGTAAAACTAGGCCTTTACAACGACCCCCTCACCCGATGGGTCAGCAAAAGTTTATGGACTTAAAATGCTACAATCAGGAGCAATGAGACACCAAACGTGAATCCTGGGATTCACGGTCCGACATGTTAAAACTGGCTACGACCAGCCTGAAAAATACTTAGAATGTAGTTTGGGTAAAAAAAATCAAATTAGTTTGTTGTCTAAATTTGAACAGGTAACCGTATTTTTACTTTTATTGAAATATTTTTTTCAGTTTGGGCTATGTGCACTAATGTGTATATTGAGTTAGGGCTATATACCTTAATTAAGTTAGAACTACGTACGTTGTTTATATTTAAAATAGAGCTACGTCCATAATGTGTATTTGAGTTAAAGCTACTTACATTAATGTGCACACCAAGTAGATCGTATTTTTGTCCAGGTGGCTCATCACTGGGTAAGTATCGGTAGAACTCGACATGATTCTTGTACCACTTCACAGAGTATAGTTCATCTTCCTCCAGGTCATATCCACAATACAGCCACACGGGGGCGCCCTGTTTGACTACTGAAGGAACGTCGAGTTCTGTCAGCTTCAGACATAGCACGGCTGGTGGGAATGAAACTTGCTACTTTAATTCTTCATCATAGAAATTTGTTTTTAACTACGTGAGAATAACAGAAATATGGAATTAAAGTACTTTTGTGAAAAAAAAATTAAAACCCTTAACTTATATAATAATTTACTTTATAAAAACCACACAAGTCTAATCAGTAATTTATTCATAACATCCACCTTTTCTAAATATTATATTTTTATATATAAATACTCTTATAGCAAATTAATGAATATATATGTTTTATGTTTGTTTGTTTGTAGTTAAGCACAAAGCTACACAAAGGACTATCTGTGCTCTGATATCTTATGACTAATAAATGAAAGAAAAACATTTTATAACTTACAAGTTCATACATTTAAGAATCCAAAATTAAACAAACTTCTGATGTGGCACTTCCTAATACATACTTCAACTGTTATAATGTCTGACCAATGAAAAGTATTGGTCGCATCTATAATTGTTAACTTTATAGATAACAAAAGAACAACCCATCATGATTTCTGGAAAACGAGTCCGTCGTTAATCGTTGGCAATCTTTAGTTATTAAATTATTGTCAACACGAAGTATCTTACAATCAAAGTAAACAAAAGAAGCTTCGGCAGGTTGTTTGTTGTTAAGCACAGAGCTACACAATGGGCTATCTGTCCTCTGCCCACCACGGGTATCGAAACCCACTTTCTAGACTTGTAAGTCCGTAGACATACCGCTGTGCCACTGGGGGGCAGCATGAAAAGGAAGGACTGCGTTAAAAACAGCAAGATCAAACCTGTGAAGAAGAAACACTTTAATTACCTAAACAAGACTGGTAGACGATGTATCCCCACCTCTATGTGGGTCCTACTTCCTCAGTTACCTCCACAATCCAGGACACATCTTACACCCCACATTAGAGTCTGTGCCCTTTTTGAAATATGTTTTATATAGAAAGAGAGAGAGAGAGAGAAAGAAATAGATCGTAGGTTATTATTGTTCTTTATTAAGAAGCCGTAATACTATGTAGTGATTACCTTAACAATTATTTAAAAAACTCTGTGCTATTCAGTCTGTTCTTGTGAACAACAACACATTCTGATTATATGTAATATTAGTAATTAGTATAGAGACACCAAAATAACACTGGCTTCTCCACCCTAATAATTCTTAATTCTTTTTAAGGCACATTGTTCTGGTATGATAAGAGTAACATATTACAAAAAACGACGTTGTTTGGCCCAATAATAAGAAAAATTATTTAGTATAACTTACAGCCAAACTAGTTTTTGCCCTGGTGATGGTAACACGTTTACCGAAACTAATTGGCTCAAAGTTATATTAAATAATTTTACTTATGATTGTGCCAAAAAACATCGGTTTTTAATTGTTACTCTTAATCCACCCTTATAGTTTAATTTGTTTGAATAACAAATGTTGGATTACTGTTCTCAAGTCGTCTTTAGGCTTAAGCAGTATAACAATATGAAATGTTTAACAGAGTAAAATTAAATGAAACCATTAATGTAAGGAAACGTATTTATTGTTTCGTGAGCCCACGCTATGAGTTTGAAAAATATTGTTCAGAATTTTCTTAGTTTCTTTTTTTCAAATAATTAACTTTTTTGACAGAAAAACTTAACTTGCAAACACCATTAACACAAGATAAGATGAACTTCTATTTAATACTTCTATATTGACCAACGAGAATGGGGAAACGGAAAGCTAAGTTGCGCTATATGCAAAGAACAATCAAAAATTCATTAACTAACAAAAGACTTACAGGAAGGTACTAATTTCAAATAGTATAATTAGTTTCGGTTTTATGAGTTGCAGTTGGACTTTCATAAGTGTTCATCTCACAACATTTTAAAGCAATAGTACGCAATATTATCTGTAGATGATAAGGAATGAAGAAAACAAATAATTACGAAAAACACAAGTATAGTTTTAAGTATAAGGACTACGTTTCGGTCAGTTACTCCTGCTCGGGTTTAAAGTACTACGTTTCGGTCAGTTACTTCTGCTCGGGTTTAAAGGACTACGTTTCGTCCAGTTACTCCTGCTCGGAATTAAAGGACTACGTTTCGGTCAGTTACTTCTGCTCGGGTTTAAAGGACTACGTTTCGTCCAGTTACTCCTTCTCGGACTTAAAGGACTACGTTTCGATCAGTTACTCCTGCTCGGAATTAAAGTACTACGTTTCGGTCAGTTACCTCTGCTCGGGTTTAAAGGACTACGTTTCGATCAGTTACTTCTGCTCGGGTTTAAAGGACTACGTTTCGTCCAGTTACTCCTGCTCGGAATTAAAGGACTACGTTTCGGTCAGTTACTCCTGCTCGGAATTAATATACTACGTTTCGGTCAGTTACCTCTGCTCGGGTTTAAAGGACTACGTTTCGATCAGTTACTTCTGCTCGGGTTTAAAGGACTACGTTTCGTCTAGTTACTCCTGCTCGGACTTAAAGGACTACGTTTCGATTAGTTACTCCTGCTCGGGTTTAAAGGACTACGTTTCGATCAATTACCGCACTCTTGCTCAGGTTTAGAAACTTATGAATGAGTAATGCCAGGTGTGTTGAAGCGTGATTTAAAGTACTGCGATGTAGTGGCCCATTCTAATTACTGTACATATTTAATAAAGGCATTAAAGAGCCTTCTAGCCACATACCTAGGTGGCGGAACTAATTTTCTCTGTTGTAACAGCGACCTTCCCTGATAATTATACACTAGTTTTTGCTTTCTATTCAAAGAGGCACTTCACTGCCCGATCAAAAGTTGGAGCAGGTGCCCTCAGTGCCCCTACCTGGTTCTGTCGCCTGTAACCGCATAAAAGTCAATCCAATACTGGAGTCTCATTCTTACTCAATGAACCCTGGTGTAATTTTTCAGAACCTCGTAAAAACCCTACTGTAAAGTTCTTTTAATGTCATCATAAATAAAAGTATATATTTTATAAAAAGTGTTATTTGCATGACAACTAATTGAACGTGAAAAACTAAAGTGTTCCAAATGCTTTCAGACTGGACAGATACCTGAGTTATTTATTTTTTAGTGTGTGATACTTTAATTCCATTCATTTTCATCTACAAAAATGCTTTAAAAACCTCTATGTGCAGTAACTTATTTTATGTTTGTTGTTAAGCACAAAGATGTACAAAGGGCTATCTGTACTCTGTCCGCCATTGGTATCGAAGCTCTATTTTTTAGCATTATAAGCCTACAGACTTACCCCTGAGCCATTGGGGGGCATTAATTTTAGGTAATTTGTTTGAAGTAATTGTGTATTAGAATAGAAATGTTCTTTATTCTGTTTATTAAGAACTAATTTTAAATGACTGTATTGACATATTTTGTCCCCCAAAGTTTCCTGTCTCAAGAGTAACAAATATTTATATTTCTTACTTTTCAAGTTCATATGTCATGCTGTGTTGTAGCCTACAGAGTGCATAATTCTTCTCGTGATTCATGACATGTGTACATTTTCCTAACCTCATGACAGTCCAAATTGCAACGTTAAGCGTCCCTTATATGACATCATTTTCGTGTCTACTGACTGACTGACAGACAACACACTAATGTACAGTGGTGAGAGTGGTTAAAACAGGTGACATCATTTTCGTGTCTACTGACTGACAGACAGACAACACACTAATGTACAGTGGTGCGAGTGATTAAAACAGGTGACCCCTTCTGACAGAAACTGAAAATATTTTATCAAAGATAATTCTAAAGGTGTGATTTAACTACTCGTTTTCGGTGGAGCCCTGGCTTATCGGAAATTTGTATTTTTTTAGTATGTTATGAAATAAGTTTTCATCGTATGTGAATTTCAGTTCCATTAAAATATCCTGTTACTCCAAGGGTACCGTATTATTTCATATTTTCACTCTAAAAATATGTAAAGCTTTTGTTTGTTTGTTTGCTTACTTTATAGCAAAGCCACATTGGGCTATCTGCTGTGTTCACCGCGTGGAATTGTACTCCGGATTTTAGCACTGTAAGTCCGTAAACCTACCGCTGTCCCACGTGGAGACATATGAAAAGCAACAAAAATTGCTTCCATGGCATATTTGTTTAACTGCTGCATATCCCAAGCAGCTAGAGAGCGAAACGGATATTCAGTCGCCGAACGCAGCGCCTACGGATTTCTGAGCGATCAAAATGCTGAAACGGGCGCAGGGAAATCGCCATATTCGTACACTAAATGCCCCTTGAAAGCATGCAGGGAAGGGTGGTGTGATTTGTACAGCCTTACGACGTAGCCTTTTGCAACATGAATTATGTTGCAGAGCTACTCTCGCTTTGCCCAATAATCAGATAGAGCACGACCATACGTGCAAATATTGACTCTTAAGAGGCAATGAGGCTCCAAATTCATTCTAACATAAACGTTTTCAACCTCTCTATTTTTTAAAATAATATGTTTTCTTATAACGTTATGTTTTTTATACAGCTTTTTTTCCAGATGCGATTAAAAACTAACTATTTTTATTCTTATTAGAGGTAGCCATAGGTAATGCAGATTAATCCAAGGAATTTTTGCATTCTACTAACCACTTAAATGGTAGTATTGTAGTAACAGGTTTGCATTATCACTGTTTAAATACGAAGCCATCTATTATAATGATACTCAGTTTTGTCTATCCTGAAAATGCGCGCACATCTTACTATCTAAATGCCCAAAATGTGGGTGTAAATATACTTTAATAAACATATAAAAAGCTTATCAAAGTTTTTCAAAAGGCCTAACGTTAAGTTAATAACATTACAAGTTTGTTTGTTGACATTATTAAGTACAGTAAAGTTTAACACTATCTAAACTAACGCAAACCACATATACAAGTTATAGTGTTAAGTTATCTCTTTATCGAATATAAGTCATACTTAATAAAGGCTTAACTAATGTTGGGCCAAAGACAAGTGAACTTATAGATTTCGGAGTCTGCGATTAGAATTATTTTGTATTATTTTAGAAATCCTGTGTTTAAAGAAATGTTGTTGCAATAAAGATATTAA